TGTTTTGTGTCTGACTGCAGCTCCGTCTCGTTCCTCTCTCTTCCTCAACTCTGCTCAACTTTAAAGTTTGTCCTGATTTGCATCACATGGATTCCACACCGGTGAGTCAGCACTCCTTCAGCACAGAAACACACAATGAGACATCAGCCGTGGGAGGATCCCAGCCAGCTGATGAGTTAACGTGAAGAATTAAGACATTGAGATGATTCTTTATTTTGGTCATCTCTCAGGGGAAATCAGTGGTCTGGACGACTCTCACTCTAAAATTTGTGTCTGTTTGTGTCTTTTTGTCTCACAGCACAGTTTTTGGATGGACTCATCTCAGAGTTGCAGAAGCCAGAAGTCAATTAGAGTGAGCTCATAAATTCTGAAATCACTGTTGTTTATCAAAGTTTTTTTTTGTTTCTCTCTCTGTTTTTCTTTCAGCCTCTTTTGTTTTCTCTTTTAGTAAGTACTGTGAAATTTGAAACTGAAATTTGTCACATCTTTTGTGATTCAACTCCACAAAAGTGGAGTCTGTATAAGTTGAATTTAAAGTTAAGCCTAAAACATACAGGATTCGTATCGTATGTTCCCTCAATGTCGCGTACCACAAAGCAAATTGGGTCCCGTTCTAATCAATGCAACATCTCATACAGGATGCGTCTCAGTTCCATATCAGAAGCACATAGAGTGCAGCTCTGCAAAAGATATGCACAGAGTCTATTTTTGCTGCTCCACGCTCCTAACACGCATCTACACAGAGAAGATTGTTCTAGACAGCATGTCAAACATAAAACCACACATGTCATCTGTTAAATTTCAAAATAAAACACCATATGCAAATTCCCGACTTTGTATCAGTTCATGCAGATAAGAAATACTTCCGGGTTATGGATTTATCAGTAACACAGAACAACTCGCTGGTTCATCCTTGATGCATGTGGACCCCAACAGGGGTCATTCCATGAATCAGTGCTTTTTCAGCTTAGAAAATTTAAAGTTTAAACTATATTTAGATTTTAATTTTTCAGTATCCAGGAATCAAAGGATGTTTAAAATGACAAGAAATGCTATTGTGCCATCTCAGGCTGTGTTATTTCATATTTTATAACTGTTTTTCTCCTGGCTGTTAACATAATCTTGTCAACCCTGTTACTGACATAAACTTAACTAAATATAATATTTCTAATTAGAAATATGCAATATATGGTACAAATATGAGCAGTCTCTTTCCATTGAGATAATTGTACTTTGTGGATTTTTTTCTCCAATTAGATATTTGTCATTCAGATGATCAAATATACCCTAATTTTGCATGGCAATCATGTCTTAACATATATCAGATATTTTTTAGAATAGAAATGTTGAAAAATGGCCCAATCTAAAAAATAATGTAATTTAAATTGTAATGGTAAGTGTTAAAAGCCCATTTGAGTTGTCATTTTTTATATTTTTATCAAATTAATGACAACAACAGGATTGACCTTATGGTAACAGGGCTGACAAGAGTAAAAGTAACTGGACACTTAGTAACTGGCTCTCGATACTGGTGTATCAATCAATCAATCAATCAATCAATCAATCAATCAATCAAAAAATATTTATTACTCAACTCAACTCAAACTTTATTTATAGAGCACTTTAAAAACAACCAAAGCTGACCAAAGTGCCGTACAGGTCAATAAGACACAGCGAAATACATAAAACAGACAGTAAACAATATGATCAAAAACACGGAATACAAGATTAAAATACAGCAAAGTAAAACTGAGGTACAAATACACCATAAATAAAAACAAATATAAAATACATAGGTAGATAAAAAACAAATATGAAATATAAAATACCAATCAAGAGCTAGGTTAAAGCTAGGGAGAAAAAGTGTGTTTTTAAAGAGGATTTAAAAACCTCTATCGACTCAGCTTAACGGATGTGGTGAGGCAGGCTGTTCCAGAGCCTTGGAGCAGCTGCCCCAAAGGCTCGGTCACCTTTACTCTTTAGGCGAGTCTTCGGGACGACCAATAGCCGCTGATTGGCAGATCTCAGTGCTCTAGCAGGGGCATGAATGTGTAAGAGCTCGGAAAAATACCCGGGGGCCAGTCCATTAAGAGCTTTAAAAACAAACAATAAAATTTTAAAATTTATTCTAAAAAAGACTGGGAGCCAGTGCAGAGAAGCGAGCACAGAGGTTATATGTTCTCTTTTACGTTTCCCAGTAAGGAGGCGGGCAGCTGCATTTTGCACCAGCTGAAGTCGATGGAGCAGATTTTGATCCAAGCCAACATACAGGGAATTGCAGTAATCTAATCTTGAATTGATAAAAGCATGTATAACTGTCTCTAAGTCTCTTCGAGAGAGGTAACCCTTTACCTTAGACAGAGTTCTCAGTTGATAAAAGCTATTTTTGACCACAGAGTTGACTTGCTTGTCGAGTTTAAAATTACTGTCAAAGGTCACGCCGAGATTCTTTACCGATTAGCTCAATAATGTTCACTTGATGACCTAAAATTATTTTAATTTTAAAAGGTTAACCTTTGACGAGAGTACAACAAGGATAAACATTATTCTATTCAACTCATCGAAAATGATACAAACCAAAAACGAATAGAACAAAAATCCCATGATAATTCCATTTTCTCATATTCTATTTTTAATTTCAAAACAAAATCAAAACAGCGAAAAATAGGCCATTATTTGTTTTCCGATTTTTGATTTGAAAACGAGAAATGAAATAACAAGTCATTATCCGTTTTCCGATTTTGGATTCTAAAACGAACATGGAATAAATGAATGATACACTGATACTGTTCCATTGCTGAAGAGGTGCAACTTGGTGGACATCACCATGTTCATTTAAATGCATGAGAAATACAATGTGTGAGCGTGTAAATGAGTGGGAATGCATGAGTCACACGCTGAATGAGTGAGACTTGAGTGCCCTGCTTTGTGTTATCATAATTTTATGAATGATTACTTCTTGGGGACGCAAAAAGGCACTGATTTCATGGAATGACCCACAGGACTTTAAGTGCTAACTCTGTCTGAAGGTAACAGCACAGCATAAAGGAACATAGTTTACTTTATTAAACATGAGTAAACCTGCAAAAAAACGAAACTGTAAAATCATGTTGCCTTTTCACATACAGTAGAAGCTCAACAGTCACTGAATTATATCCAAATTAGCAGGAAATCGACCACAGAAAGGCAAAACAAACTGCTGTGAGCATGTTGTTTCCTCTAGGGGCTGCACTACGAGTCCTGTGGGCGATAGATAGCGCTGTTTGACAGCACAGATATGTAATGCTGACGGAATGCACTCAAGATGGATCCTGTTTATTTTCGGCTTTAGGGTGCAAATTCATCACTAAATCATACATTGAAGCCAGTTTGCTTGGGACTTAGATTCCTTCATGGTTTGGTTGCACCAGGTGGACATAAAGTAGATCCTGATTAGTCAAGTGCAACGTCCACACTGAACAAAATCATGATAGGAATGAACAGTTCTTCTTATGGAGGACCTTTTCTTCATGGATTAGTTGTTGCAGATCTGACTCTCATGTCTCATGTGCATTTGTTTTATTTCTCTGGACTTTCTCTGCAAACTAAAAAAAGCTCATCAGAAGCTCCTCATTGTGTCTGAGGTGCTGACAGGTTATTTTGACACATTACTCCCCACCACCATGTAATGTGGAGCTAGGATTTATTTCAAGCTGTCTGTGTTTGTCTGAGACCACTAAAGCAGGGCTCTAGTGTTGCTGCACGGTGTGATTATATGAGCAGCAAAACCAGTTTGTGCCATCAGAGATTTGAGCTGTGGTCAGAGGTGAAACCAGCTATACAAAGCTCAAACCAGAGATGAATATCAAACAAAGAAGATCAACATATAGATTTGTGCTTCAACAATATCACACAATTTACAAAGAAAAAATTAGGACACCTATCAGGTATACATTTTTTTCCGAGCCAGGCCGACCCCATGACCTGAAGAGAAGAGAAGAGAAGATGATGTTTCCACATGGCTGGAAGAGCATGAGTAGACAATAACCAGTCATGAAACCCTTTTTAACAACAGAAAAACAATCCAGCATGTAGAAAATGTCTCCTACCGTCTGATTTTCTCTCATCATCCTCAGCTGCAGTGCGGCCTGTGTGCCAGAGGGCAGCACTTCCACAGGAGGTGAAACTCACATCAGACTCGCCCTGCTGCCTCACATTTCTTTATAGTCGAGCCAATTGCTCTGATAACCCTGCGAGGTCTGCTATGTATATGTAAATATGTCACCAACTGTTTACCGCCAGGCCAAGCTTTTCATATTAGCGCTGATATGCTACTCAGGCTCCTCTATAGCGCTGCCAACTGCTGGCAAGAACACAGTCAGTGTGTCTGCATCTGAGTAAATCTTATCACTGTCTGCCATAGGCACTAACGCAGCATATTAGAATTGACGCTCGACAATAACAGCTTCCATGGCTGCAGCGGCGTCCAAACGCTGCAAATTCAGAGGGCAGAGGGAGCGTGACGGAGCAGAGGGAGAGGAAAACAAATAAAAACTAGGGCCCCGGTGGGGCACTGTCGGGCCCGAGCCGCGTCGTGCCGCCCCCAGCGCGACCGCCTCCCCCTCCCGATCGCATCACACTCAAGGTCCAAAGATGGTGTGCGCACTTGTCTGTGGTCATTTCCCATTATAATGAATGGGAGGCGCAGTTTCTACCAAAACACTCGCTGCAGACAAACTTCATGTCCTATTTGAAAAAAATCTGGACCATGAGTGAGGGCACAAACACAGCTAGGATATATCCAAATGGCAGGTTGCTCCTCCTTACGGTGTTGCCGGGAGAGCGATGCGATTGAGCCATTGAGCGATGGGCAGGAAAAACTTGACTTTTTCTCCTGCCATGGGGGGGGGGGGGGGGATGTGGATTCTTTTAAGAATGTGGATTTTTGGGTCATCTTTGGCGCCCCCTAGAACGTAAACCGTGGGGTGCAGCGTCATGATTTTTACAACTTTGAATGGCCATGGGGTGTAGATTGGCCTGAGCAAATTTGGTGTCAGTGGGACGAAAGCCTTAGGAGGAGTTAGCCACATTCCAATGTGTGCGAATCGGCAAAAAATGCAAAATAGCCCTTTAACCGTACATTTGACAGATACGCGCACATTGACTTTTTCGTAGATCTTATTGAGATACACGTGATTGTCAAATTTTGTGTCAATATGACAAAGCGTATAGGTGTGACACTCAACAATGTGAATTTTGACCTTAGGGGACAAGAAAAAATTGACTTTTTTCTCCTGCCATGGGGGGGCGCTCTTTTAGGGAGTAAAAATTCCTTCACAAATGTGTTGATGGCTGGACATTGCATCATCCTAGAAAACTTGGAGGCCAGTGAGGACAAAAATAAAAAGTTATAAGACTTTTAAATATGTGGATTTTAGGGTTATCTTTGGCGCCCCCTAGAACCTAAACCATGGGGTGCAGCGTCATGATTTGAATAACTTTTAATGGCCATGGGGTGTAGATTGACCTGAGCAAATGTTGTGCCGATGGAACGAAAGTCTTTAGAGGAGTTAGCGAAATTCCGATGTGTGTGGATCGGCAAAAAATGCGAAATAACCCTTTAACCGTAAATTTGACAGATACGCCAGCATTGACTTTTTTGTAGATCTTATTGAGATACATGTGTGTCAAATTTTGTGTCAATATGACAAAGCGTACAGCCGTGACAGTCAATAGTGTGAATTTTCATCTTAGGGGGCGCTATGGAGCCATTTTGCATTTTATTGTTTGGGCGACTTCAGAATATCAAATTTTTCACCAGGCCCGGTCGTCCTGCCAAATTTCATGAGTTTTCGCCAGTGGGAAGTGGGCCATTTTCCAGTTCAAAGGGGAGGAAAAAGAAACTAGGGCCCCGTTGGGGCACTGGCGGGCCCGAGCCGCGTTGCGCCACCCCCAGTGCGACCGCCTCCCCCTCCCGATCGCGTCACACTCAAGGTCCAAAGATGGTGTGCGCACTTGTCTGTGGTCATTTCCCATTATAATGAATGGGAGGCGCAGTTTCTACCAAAACACTCGCTGCAGACAAACTACATGTCCTATTTGAAAAAAGTCTGGACCATGAGTGAGGGCACAAACACAGATAGGATATATCCAAACGGCAAGTTGCTCCTCGTTACGGTGTTGCCGGGAGAGCGATGCGATTGAGCCATTGAGTGATGGGCAGGAAAAACTTGACTGTTTCTCCTGCCATGGGGGATGGGGGATGGGGGGGGGGGGGGGGATGGGGTGGGGGATGTGGATTCTTTTAAGAATGTGGATATTTGGGTCATCTTTGGCGCCCCCTAGAACGTAAACCGTGGGGTGCAGCGTCATGATTTTTAAAACTTTGAATGGCCATGGGGTGTAGATTGGCCTGAGCAAATTTGGTGTCAGTGGGACGAAAGCCTTAGGAGGAGTTAGCCACATTCCAATGTGTGCTAATCGGCAAAAAATGCAAAATAGCCCTTTAACCGTACATTTTACAGATACGCGCGCATTGACTTTTTCATAGATCTTATTGAGATACATGTGTGTGTCAAATTTTGTGTCAATATGACAAAGCATACAGGTATGACAGTCAACAATGTGTATTTTCACCTTATGGGACAAGAAAAAATTGTCTTTTTTCTCCTGCCATGGGGGGGCGCTCTTTTGGGGAGTAAAAATTCCTTCACAAATGTGTTGATGGCTGGACATTGCATCATCCTAGAAAACTTGGAGGCCAGAGAGGACAAAAATAAAAAGTTATAAGACTTTTAAATATGTGGATTTTAGGGTTATCTTTGGCGCCCCCTAGAACCTAAACCGTGGGGTGCAGCGTCATGATTTGAATTACTTTTAATGGCCATGGGGTGTAGACTGGCCTGAGCAAATGTGGTGCCAGTGGAACGAAAGCCTTAGGAGGAGTTAACCACATTCCAATGTGTGCGGATCGGCAAAAAATGCGCAATAACCCTTTAACCGTACATTTGACAGATACGCGCGCATTGACTTTTTCGTAGATCTTATTGAGATACACGTGATTGTCAAATTTTGTGTCAATATGACAAAGCGTATAGGTGTGACACTCAACAATGTGAATTTTGACCTTGGGGGACAAGAAAAAATTGACTTTTTTCTCCTGCCATGGGGGGGCGCTCTTTTGGGGAGTAAAAATTCCTTCACAAATGTGTTGATGGCTGGACATTGCATCATCCTAGAAAACTTGGAGGCCAGTGAGGACAAAAATAAAAAGTTATAAGACTTTTAAATATGTGGATTTTAGGGTTATCTTTGGCGCCCCCTAGAACCTAAACCGTGGGGTGCAGCGTCATGATTTGAATAACTTTTAATGGCCATGGGGTGTAGATTGACCTTAGCAAATGTTGTGCCGATGGAACGAAAGTCTTCAGAGGAGTTAGCGAAATTCCGATGTGTGTGGATCGGCAAAAAATGCGAAATAACCCTTTAACCGTAAATTTGACAGATACGCCAGCATTGACTTTTTTGTAGATCTCATTGAGATACATGTGTGTCAAATTTTGTGTCAATATGACAAAGCGTACAGCCGTGACAGTCAATAGTGTGAATTTTCATCTTAGGGGGCGCTATGGAGCCATTTTGCATTTTATTGTTTGGGCGACTTCAGAATATCAAATTTTTCACCAGGCCCGGTCGTCCTGCCAAATTTCATGAGTTTTCGCCAGTGGGAAGTGGGCCATTTTCCAGTTCAAAGGGGAGGAAAAAGAAACTAGGGCCCCGTTGGGGCACTGGCGGGCCCGAGCCGCGTTGCGCCACCCCCAGTGCGACCGCCTCCCCCTCCCGATCGCGTCACACTCAAGGTCCAAAGATGGTGTGCGCACTTGTCTGTGGTCATTTCCCATTATAATGAATGGGAGGCGCAGTTTCTACCAAAACACTCGCTGCAGACAAACTACATGTCCTATTTGAAAAAAGTCTGGACCATGAGTGAGGGCACAAACACAGATAGGATATATCCAAACGGCAAGTTGCTCCTCGTTACGGTGTTGCCGGGAGAGCGATGCGATTGAGCCATTGAGTGATGGGCAGGAAAAACTTGACTGTTTCTCCTGCCATGGGGGATGGGGGATGGGGGTGGGGTGGGGGATGTGGATTCTTTTAAGAATGTGGATATTTGGGTCATCTTTGGCGCCCCCTAGAACGTAAACCGTGGGGTGCAGCGTCATGATTTTTAAAACTTTGAATGGCCATGGGGTGTAGATTGGCCTGAGCAAATTTGGTGTCAGTGGGACGAAAGCCTTAGGAGGAGTTAGCCACATTCCAATGTGTGCTAATCGGCAAAAAATGCAAAATAGCCCTTTAACCGTACATTTTACAGATACGCGCGCATTGACTTTTTCATAGATCTTATTGAGATACATGTGTGTGTCAAATTTTGTGTCAATATGACAAAGCATACAGGTATGACAGTCAACAATGTGTATTTTCACCTTATGGGACAAGAAAAAATTGTCTTTTTTCTCCTGCCATGGGGGGGCGCTCTTTTGGGGAGTAAAAATTCCTTCACAAATGTGTTGATGGCTGGACATTGCATCATCCTAGAAAACTTGGAGGCCAGAGAGGACAAAAATAAAAAGTTATAAGACTTTTAAATATGTGGATTTTAGGGTTATCTTTGGCGCCCCCTAGAACCTAAACCGTGGGGTGCAGCGTCATGATTTGAATTACTTTTAATGGCCATGGGGTGTAGACTGGCCTGAGCAAATGTGGTGCCAGTGGAACGAAAGCCTTAGGAGGAGTTAACCACATTCCAATGTGTGCGGATCGGCAAAAAATGCGCAATAACCCTTTAACCGTACATTTGACAGATACGCGCGCATTGACTTTTTCGTAGATCTTATTGAGATACATGTGTGTGTCAATTTTTGTGTCATTTTGCCAAAGCGTACAGGCGTGACACTAAACAATGTGTATTTTCACCTTATGGGACAAGAAAAAATGGACTTTTTTCTCCTGCCATGGGGGGGCGCTCTTTTGGGGAGTAAAAATTCCTTCACAAATGTGTTGATGGCTGGACATTGCATCATCCTAGAAAACTTGGAGGCCAGTGAGGGCAAAAATAAAAAGTTATAAGACTTTGAAATATGTGGATTTTAGGGTTATCTTTGGCGCCCCCTAGAACCTAAACCGTGGGGTGCAGCGTCATGATTTGAATAACTTTTAATGGCCATGGGGTGTAGATTGGCCTGAGCAAATGTGGTGCCGGTGGAACGAAAGCCTTCGGAGGAGTTAGCGAAATTCCAATGTGTGCGGATCGGCAAAAAATGCGCAATAACCCTTTAACCGTACATTTGACAGATACGGCCGCACTGACTTTTTTGTAGATCTTATTGAGATACATGTGTGTGTCAATTTTTGTGTAATTTTGACAAAGCGTACAGGCGTGACAGTCAATAGTGTGAATTTTCACCTTATGGGACAAGAAAAAATGGACTTTTTTCTCCTGCCATGGGGGGGCGCTCTTTTGGGGAGTAAAAATTCCTTCACAAATGTGTTGATGGCTGGACATTGCATCATCCTAGAAAACTTGGAGGCCAGTGAGGGCAAAAATAAAAAGTTATAAGACTTTTAAATATGTGGATTTTAGGGTTATCTTTGGCGCCCCCTAGAACCTAAACCGTGGGGTGCAGCGTCATGATTTGAATAACTTTTAATGGCCATGGGGTGTAGATTGGCCTGAGCAAATGTGGTGCCGGTGGAACGAAAGCCTTCGGAGGAGTTAACGAAATTCCAATGTGTGCGGATCGGCAAAAAATGCGAAATAACCCTTTAACCGTAAATTTGACAGATACGCCAGCATTGACTTTTTTGTAGATCTTATTGAGATACATGTGTGTGTCAATTTTTGTGTCATTTTGACAAAGCGTACAGGCGTCAGGTGAATTTTTCACCTTAGGGGGCGCTATGGAGCCATTTTGCATTGTATTGTTTGGGCGACTTCAGAATATCAAATTTTTCACCAGGCCCGGTCGTCCTGCCAAATTTCATGAGTTTTCGCCAGTGGGAAGTGGGCCATTTTCCAGTTCAAAGGGGAGGAAAAAGAAACTAGGGCCCCGTTGGGGCACTGGCGGGCCCGAGCCATGTCGCGCCGCCCCCAGCGATACCGCCTCCCCGTTCCATTCGCGTCCTCTGGCCGTCGCCCTCTCTGGTAACGCCCATCACTGCAAAGACCCTTTTCCTTCATCGGTGTTTGCTGTTCTTCCTGCCAGTGCGTGTTGCTTTCACTTACACTTGCCACAGCCAGCCTCGTGAGTGCCTAGCCTATTGGATATCACTGTCACCAAACAGGACAGTCATTACCTTTCTATTAATACTTTGTTTTTAATTTCACATTAATTTCCATATTGTATAAATGACTGGAAAAAACTTGAGCCCCTGCCCCTGTATAATCATGTGCACGTCCCTGTTCTAGCTCCAAGGTGAATCTTCACTGCTCATGTTCTCCTCAGAAGCACTCACCTCACTCCCCTCAGGTTACTGTACACATGCACCAACTGCCTGCTTCAGGTTTGGATGGAGCTTCATGGTTGTCTTTTGGAGAAATGAGCAGTCAAGTTGTGTTTGAAATTTGATTTTTTTCAGGGGCAAAAGGAGCCTCTGTATTCTTGAGACTCTGAGTGTGTGTGTGTGTGTGTGTGTGTGTGTGTGTGTGTGTGTGTGTGTGTGTGTGTGTGTGTGTGTGTGTGTGTGTGTGTGTGTGTGTGTGTGTGTGTGTGTATATCTTGCAGTACTCTGAGAAGAATAATAAGCATATTTCTGAGGTGAATTTTGAAGATTCATCTGAGAGTTAGGAGGGCTGATCATTCCCTTACCCTTTAGATGTCTGTCTATGTCTGTTTTTGTGTGATAATGAAATAATCCCAACTCAAAAAGGCTCTGTTGATGTTTTTTTTTTGTTGTTCATTCATATTCAAACCACTATTTTATATCACTGCTAATACGCCAAGACCATTTTATGGTATTTAGCTTTATTATTTCTATACATTTTTCAAGGAAAGAAACCACCCCTTCACTAAAATTTCCATAAACTTTAGGAAAGGACCTCTGGTTGTTTAAGGGGGTCATTACTGCAAAAACATATTCTTCCTAAATTTTGAAGGTCAAACCTTAGATCCATTAGGTTTAAATAGAAAAAGCATTAAATATGTTAGGATTATAGCATATGACAAATGTGTGCCTCTCAGTGGCCATAACTACTTTGTCTGCTGGCTCTGCAGTCGATTGACGCTCCCCAGCGTTCAAGTCACATGACATATTTAACCGGATGTAGCTGCAAGACGGAGCCTCGTTCACCCTCCGTTTCAACTTATCTCAAAAGTGAGGACCTCAAACTATATACCAGTTTTTAAATTGTGTTGATAGGCCAAATAAAACCAGAGTTATGATAAATTATGTCCGTGATACTTTTTTTATGCTTATTTTGATCACGTTCGGCGCTCAATCGCGCTGTATGAGACAGGAATACATAGCATGCAGACATTAGCGACAGCTCTTACAGGCGGAAAAGGCTTGCCAAAAGAAAAAAAAAAAACAGACCACAACATCTCTCCTATTGGTGGAAAACTTCACCACAACAACCAATCCAAAATTATATGGTGACTGATTGACAAGGGGCGGGCGCTTACGTTCTTCCTGCAATATGAGAAGGGAGGGAGGGACTCTCAGCAGGGATGCAGTCTGGGACGCGTAGTTGCAAACCTAGCGACTTTGTTGTTAGATTCAATGACTTTTCAGACCCCCTAACGACTTTTTTTTTAGAAAGAAAGGGAATTTTATCGACTTCTTCTGGAGTTTAGAGACTCTGACATGAAGCAGGCTTTCCTTACTGAGGAGTAGGCAACGCTGCTAAGGGTGCAGAGCCACACATGCGCTCCGAGCTCTGCATGGGAGACTGAAGCTGACAGAGCTGCAGCAGTTAGCAGGTTTCACCCTCAGAGACCACCAGGGGTTCATGTTGAGGCATTTTCAGTTTTTTTTTTTTTTTTGCCATAGACACTGTCAGCACAATCTGCAGTTACACTAACAAAAATGCTGCAAAAAACAAAGAATTATGGAAAAATTACATATGGACTGACATAGAGGAGGATCTACACAAGTTTTTTTTTTTTTTATGTTGTGCCAATGGAACGAAAGCCTTCAGAGGAGTTAGCGAAATTCCAATGTGTGCAAATCGCCAAAAAATGCGAAATTGCCCTTTAACCGTACATTTTACAGATACGTGCCCATTGACTTTTTCGTAGATCTTATTGAAATACACGTGTATGTCAAATTTTGTGTCAATATGACAAAACATACAGGCGTAGCACTCAACAATGTGTATTTTCACCTTAGTGGACAAGAAAAAATTGACTTTTTTCTCCTGCCATGGGGGGGCGCTCTTTTGGGGAGTAAAAATTCCTTCACAAATGTGTTGATGGCTGGACATTGCATCATCCTAGAAAACTTGGAGGCCAGTGGGGACAAAAATAAAAAGTTATAAGACTTTTAAATATGTGGATTTTAGGGTTATCTTTGGCGCCCCCTAGAACCTAAACCATGGGGTGCAGCGTCATGATTTGAATAACTTTTAATGGCCATGGGGTGTAGATTGACCTGAGCAAATGTTGTGCCGAAGGAACGAAAGTCTTTAGAGGAGTTAGCGAAATTCCGATGTGTGTGGATCGCCAAAAAATGCGAAATAACCCTTTAACCGTAAATTTGACAGATACGCCTGCACTGACTTTTTTGTAGATCTTATTGAGATACATGTGTGTGTCAATTTTTGTGTCAATATGACAAAGCGTACAGCCGTGACAGTCAATAGTGTGAATTTTCATCTTAGGGGGCGCTATGGAGCCATTTTGCATTTTATTGTTTGGGCGACTTCAGAATATCAAATTTTTCACCAGGCCCGGTCGTCCTGCCAAATTTCATGAGTTTTCGCCAGTGGGAAGTGGGCCATTTTCCAGTTCAAAGGGGAGGAAAAAGAAAAACTAGGACCCCGTTGGGGCACTGGCGGGCCCGAGCTGTGTCGCGTCCCCCCCCAACGCGCTGCCTCCCCGTCCCATTTGTGTCCTCTGGCCATCGCCCTCTCTGGTAACGCCCATCACTGCAAAGACCCTTTTCCTTCATCGGCGTTTGCTGTTCTTCCTGCCAGTGCGTGTTGCTTTCACTTACACTTGCCACAGCCAGCCTCGTGAGTGCCTAGCCTATTGGATATCACTGTCACCTACACAGGACAGTCATTACCTTTCTATTAATACTTTGTTTTTTAATTTCACATTAATTTCCATATTGTATAAACAACTGGAAAAAACTTGAGCCCCTGCCCCTGTATAATCATGTGCACGTCTCTGTTCTAGCTCTAAGGTGAATCTTCACTGCTCATGTTCTCCTCAGAAGCAGTCACCTCACTCCCCTCAGGTTACTGTACACATGCACCAACTGCCTGCTTCAGGTTTGGATGGAGCTTCATGGTTGTCTTTTGGAGAAATGACCAGTCAAGTTGTGTTTGAAATTTGATTTTTTTCAGGGGCAAAAGGAGCCTCTGCATTCTTGTCAAATATGTAAATAGCATGTTTTTGCAGGTGCTAAAAACCAGACTCTGAGTGTGTGTGTGTGCGTGTGTGTGTGTGTCTGTGTGTGTGTGTGTGTGTGTGTGTGTGTGTGTGTGTGTGTGTGTGTGTGTGCGTTCAAGTCACATGACATATTTAACCGGATGTAGCTGCAAGACGAAGCCTCGTTGACTCTCCGTTTCAACTTATCTCAAAAGTGAGGACCTCAACCTATATACCAGTTTTTAAATTGTGTTGATAGGCCAAATAAAACCAGAGTTATGATAAATTATGTCCGCGATACTTGTTTTCTGCTTATTTTGATCACGTTCGGCGCTCGATCGCGCTGTATGAGACAGGAAAACATAGCATGCAGACATTAGCGACAGGTCTTACAGGCGGAAAAGGCTTGCCAAAGGAAAAAAAAAACACACCACAACATCTCTCCTATTGGTGGAAAACTTCACCACAACAACCAATCCAAAATTATATGGTGACTGATTGACAAGGGGCGGGCGCTTACGTTCTTCCTGCAATATGAGAAGGGAGGGAGGGACTCTCAGCAGGGATGCAGTCTGGGACACGTAGTTGCAAACCTAGCGACTTTGTTGTTAGATTCAATGACTTTTCAGACCCCCTAACGACTTTTTTTAGAAAGAAAGTGACTTTTATCGACTTCTTCTGGAGTTTAGAGACTCTGACATGAAGCAGGCTTTCCTTACTGAGGAGTTAGCAACGCTGCTAAGGGTGCAGAGCCACACATGCGCTCCGAGCTCTGCATGGGAGACTGAAGCTGACAGAGCTGCAGCAGTTAGCAGGTTTCACCCTCAGAGACCACCAGGGGTTCATGTTGAGGCATTTTCAGTTTTTTTTTTTTTTTGCCATAGACACTGTCAGCACAATCTGCAGTTACACTAACAAAAATGCTGCAAAAAACAAAGAATTATGGAAAAATTACACATGGACTGACATAGAGGAGGATCTACACAAGTTTTTTACATCATGTTTTACATCATGCATCATTTACATCATGTTTTTTTGTAGTGGCATAAATAAAAAAGTGACATTTGTGAGACTATACAGTGTTTTGTAAATAATTTTACAAAGAACACCTGGGCCATTGCCTGCATTTTGATGTAAATAGAGGTAAATTACTATGTTCTTTGTTAAAAATTTGCATATGTTTTGAAGTTTACAATTTTTATTTGAAGTTTAAGTTTTAAAAACAGTTCATCACACATATTTGTGGTTTTCACAGTAAAAACGTTACTTTTTTCCACTCGGATTTTATGTTTTGTGTGTGAATTTGGGTCCAATGTGTAAATATAGTATGTCAAAATGATAAAATAACTGTAAATTGACACAGGTGAGGTTGTGCTGAAAAAAATGATACCAGGCAAGGCAAGGTAAAAATTTTGTAAGAGGAAATATAAAGGTAAAATCTAAAGTAGTCAAAAACGGCCAATAGTGACTCACAGACTCCACAGACAAGTCCCTTTGGCGCCACTCAGTGGGCAAAACTACTTTGTCTACTGTAATGTATATTTGGGTCATCTTTGGCGCCCCCTAAAACGTAAACCGTGGGGTGCCGCGTCATGATTTTTACAACTTTGAATGGCCATGGAGTGTAGATTGGCCTGAGCAAATTTGGTGTCAGTGGGACGAAAGCCTTAGGAGGAGTTAGCGAAATTCCAATATGTGCGAATCGGCAAAAAATGCAAAATAGCCCTTTTACCGTACATTATACAGATACGCGCTTTGACTTTTTCGTAGATCTAATTGAGATACACATGATTGTCAATTTTTGTGTCATTTTGCCAAAGCGTACAGGCGTGACAGTCAACAATGTGTATTTTCACCTTAGGGGACAAGAAAAAATGGACTTTTTTCTCCTGCCATGGGGGGGCGCTCTTTTAGGGAGTAAAAATTCCTTCACAAATGTGTTGATGGCTGGACATTGCATCATCCTAGAAAACTTGGAGGCCAGTGAGGACAAAAATAAAAAGTTATAAGACTTTTAAAAATGTGGATTTTTGGGTTATCTTTGGCGCCCCCTAGAACGTAAACCGTGGGGTGCAGCGTCATGATTTGAATAACTTTTAATGGCCATGGGGTGTAGATTGGCCTGAGCAAATGTGGTGCCGGTGGAACGAAAGCCTTCGGAGGAGTTAGCGAAATTCCAATGTGTGCGAATCGGCAAAAAATGCGGAATAACCCTTTAACCGTACATTTGACAGATACGCGCGCATTGACTTTTTTGTAGATCTTATTGAGATACATGTGTGTGTCAATTTTTGTGTCATTTTGACAAAGCGTACAGGCGTGACACTCAACAATGTGTATTTTCACCTTAGGGGACAAGAAAAAATGGACTTTTTTCTCCTGCCATGGGGGGGCGCTCTTTTGGGGAGTAAAAATTCCTTCACAAATGTGTTGATGGCTGGACATTGCATCATCCTAGAAAACTTGGAGGCCAGTGAGGACAAAAATAAAAAGTTATAAGACTTTTAAATATGTGGATTTTAGTGTTATCTTTGGCGCCCCCTAGAACCTAAACCGTGGGGTGCAGCGTCATGATTTGAATAACTTTTAATGGCCATGGGGTGTAGATTGGCCTGAGCAAATGTGGTGCCGGTGGAACGAAAGCCTTCGGAGGAGTTAGCGAAATTCCAATGTGTGCGGATCGGCAAAAAATGCGCAATAACCCTTTAACCGTACATTTGACAGATACGCCCGCACTGACTTTTTTGTAGATCTTATTGAGATACATGTGTGTGTCAATTTTTGTGTCATTTTGACAAAGCGTACAGGCGTCAGGTGAATTTTTCACCTTAGGGGGCGCTATGGAGCCATTTTGCATTTTCTTGTTTGGGCGACTTCGGAATATCAAATTTTTCACCAGGCCCGGTCGTCCTGCCAAATTTCATGAGTTTTCGCCAGTGGGAAGTGGGCCATTTTCCAGTTCAAAGGGGAGGAAAAATAATAACTAGGGCCCCGTTGGGGCACTGGCGGGCCCGAGCTGTGTCGCCCCCCCCCCCCCCAACGCGCTGCCTTCCCGTCCCATTGGCGTCCTCTGGCCATCGTCCTCTCTGGTAACGCCCATCACTGCAAAGACCCTTTTCCTTCATCGGCGTTTGCTGTTCTTCCTGCCAGTGCGTGTGGCTTTCACTTGCACTTGCCACAGCCAGCCTCGTGAGTGCCTAGCCTATTGGATATCACTGTCACCTACACAGGACAGTCATTACCTTTCTATTAATACTTTGTTTTTTAATTTCACATTAATTTCCATATTGTCTAAACGACTGGAAAAAACTTGAGCCCCTGCCCCTGTATAATCATGTGCACGTCCCTGTTCTAGCTCCAAGGTGAATCTTGACTGCTCATGTTCTCCTCAGAAGCAGTCACCTCACTCCCCTCAGGTTACTGTACACATGCACCAACTGCCTGCTTCAGGTTTGGATGGAGCTTCATGGTTGTCTTTTGGAGAAATGAGCAGTCAAGTTGTGTTTGAAATTTCATTTTTTTCAGGGGCAAAAGGAAGTCTCTGCATTGTTGTCAAATATGTAAATAGCATGTTTTTGCAGGTGCTGAAAAACAGACTCTGAGTGTGTATGTGTGTGTGTGTGTGTGTGTGTGTGTGTGTGTGTGTGTGTGTGTGTGTGTGTGTGTCTGTGTGTGTGTGTGTCTGTGTGTGTGTATCCTGCAGTACTCTGTACTCCTGCAGTGGCCAAAACGACTTTTAAGAATGTGGATATTTGGGTCATCTTTGGCGCCCCCTAGAACGTAAACCATGGGGTGCAGCGGCATGATTTTTACAACTTTGAATGGCCATGGAGTGTAGATTGGCCTGAGCAAATTTGGTGTCAGTGGGACGAAAGCCTTAGGAGGAGTTAGCGAAATTCCAATGTGTGCGAATCGGCAAAAAATGCAAAATAGCCCTTTTACCGTACATTATACAGATACGCGCTCTTTGACTTTTTCGTAGATCTAATTGAGATACACATGATTGTCAATTTTTGTGTCATTTTGCCAAAGCGTACAGGCGTGACAGTCAACAATGTGTATTTTCACCTTAGGGGACAAGAAAAAATGGACTTTTTTCTCCTGCCATGGGGGGGCGCTCTTTTGGGGAGTAAAAATTCCTTCACAAATGTGTTGATGGCTGGACATTGCATCATCCTAGAAAACTTGGAGGCCAGTGAGGACAAAAATAAAAAGTTATAAGACTTTTAAATATGTGGATTTTAGGGTTATCTTTGGCGCCCCCTAGAACCTAAACCGTGGGGTGCAGCGTCATGATTTGAATAACTTTTAATGGCCATGGGGTGTGGATTGGCCTGAGCAAATGTGGTGCCGGTGGAACAAAAGCCTTCGGAGGAGTTAGCGAAATTCCAATGTGTACGGATCGCCAAAAAATGCGAAATAGCCCTTTAACCGTACATTTGACAGATACGCCCGCATTGACTTTTTCGTAGATCTTATTGAGACACACCTGTGTGCCAAATTTTGTGTCATTTTGACAAAGTGTAGAGGCGTGACACTCAACAATGTGTATTTTCACCTTAGGGGACAAGAAAAAATGGACTTTTTTCTCCTGCCATGGGGGGGCGCTCTTTTGGGGAGTAAAAATTCCTTCACAAATGTGTTGATGGCTGGACATTGCATCATCCTAGAAAAATTGGAGGCCAGTGAGGACAAAAATAAAAAGTTATAAGACTTTTAAATATGTGGATTTTAGGGTTATCTTTGGCGCCCCCTAGAACCTAAACCGTGGGGTGCAGCGTCATGATTTGAATAACTTTTAATGGCCATGGGGTGTAGATTGGCCTGAGCAAATGTGGTGCCGGTGGAACAAAAGCCTTCGGAGGAGTTAGCGAAATTCCAATGTGTACGGATCGCCAAAAAATGCGAAATAGCCCTTTAACCGTACATTTGACAGATACGCCCGCACTGACTTTTTTGTAGATCTTATTGAGATACATATGTGTGTCAAATTTTGTGTCATTTTGACAAAGCGTACAGGCGTGACAGTCAATAGTGGGGGGGGCGCTATGGAGCCATTTTGCATTTTATTGTTTGGGCGACTTCAGAATATCAAATTTTTCACCAGGCCCGGTCGTCCTGCCAAATTTCATGAGTTTTCGCCAGTGGGAAGTGGGCCATTTTCCAGTTCAAAGGGGAGGAAAAATAATAACTAGGACCCCGTTGGGGCACTGGCGGGCCCGAGCCGTGTCGCGTCCCCCCCCCCCCCAACGTGCTGCCTCCCCGTCCCATTTGTGTCCTCTGGCCATCGCCCTCTCTGTTAACGCCCATCACTGCAAAGACCCTTTTCCTTCATCGGCGTTTGCTGTTCTTCCTGCCAGTGTATGTTGCTTTCACTTACACTTGCCACAGCCAGCCTCGTGAGTGCCTAGCCTATTGGATATCACTGTCACCTACACAGGACAGTCATTACCTTTCTATTAATACTTTGTGTTTTAATTTCACATTAATTTCCATATTGTATAAACGACTGGAAAAAACTTGAGCCCCTGCCCCTGTATAATCATGTGCATGTCTCTGTTCTAGCTCCAAGGTGAATCTTCACTGCTCATGTTCTCCTCAGAAGCACTCACCTCACTCCCCTCAGGTTACTGTACACATGCACCAACTGCCTGCTTCAGGTTTGGATGGAGCTTCATGGTTGTCTTTTGGAGAAATGACCAGTCAAGTTGTGTTTGAAATTTGATTTTTTTCAGGGGCAAAAGGAGCCTCTGCATTCTTGTCAAATATGTAAATAGCATGTTTTTGCAGGTGCTAAAAACCAGACTCTGAGTGTGTGTGTGTGTGTGTGTGTGTGTGTGTGTGTGTGTGTGTGCGTGTGTGTGTGTCTATGTGTGCGTTCAAGTCACATGACATATTTAACTGGATGTAGCTGCAAGACGGAGCCTCGTTGACTCTCCGTTTCAACTTATCTCAAACGTGAGGACCTCAACCTATATACCAGTTTTTAAATTGTGTTGATAGGCCAAATAAAACCAGAGTTATGATAAATTATGTCCGCGATACTTGTTTTCTGCTTATTTTGATCACGTTCGGCGCTCGATCGCGCTGTATGAGACAGGAAAACATAGCATGCAGACATTAGCTACAGGTCTTACAGGCGGAAAAGGGTTGCCAAAAGAAAAAAAAAACACACCACAACATCTCTCCTATTGGTGGAAAACTTCACCACAACAACCAATCCAAAATTATATGGTGACTGATTGACAAGGGGCGGGCGCTTACGTTCTTCCTGCAACATGAGAAGGGAGGGAGGGACTCTCAGCAGGGATGCAGTCTGGGACACGTAGTTGCAAACCTAGAGACTTTGTTGTTAGATTCAATGACTTTTCAGACCCCCTAACGACTTTTTTTTAGAAAGAAAGGGACTTTTATCGACTTCTTCTGGAGTTTAGAGACTCTGACATGAAGCAGGCTTTCCTTACTGAGGAGTTAGTAACGCTGCTAAGGGTGCAGAGCCACACATGCGCTCAGAGCTCTGCATGGGAGACTGAAGCTGACAGAGCTGCAGCAGTTAGCAGGTTTCACCCTCAGAGACCACCAGAGGTTCATGTTGAGGCATTTTAATTTTTTTTTTTTTTTTGCCATAGACACTGTCAGCACAATCTGCAGTTACACTAACAAAAATGCTGCAAAAAACAAAGAATTATGGAAAAATTACACATGGACTGACATAGAGGAGGATCTACACAAGTTTTTTACATCATGTTTTACATCATGCATCATTTACATCATGTTTTTTTGTAGTGGCATAAATAAAAAGTGACATTTGTGAGACTATACAGTGTTTTGTAAATAATTTTACAAAGAACGCCTGGGCCATTGCCTGCATTTTGATGTAAATAGAGGTAAATTACTATGTTCTTTGTTAAAAATTTGCATATGTTTTGAAGTTTACAATTTTTATTTGAAGTTTAAGTTTTAAAAACAGTTCATCACACATATTTGTGGTTTAATTTCACATTAATTTCCATATTGTATAAATGACTGGAAAAAACTTGAGCCCCTGCCCCTGTATAATCATGTGCATGTCTCTGTTCTAGCTCCAAGTTGAATCTTCACTGCTCATGTTCTCCTCAGAAATAGTCACCTCACTCCCCTCAGGTTACTGTACACATGCACCAACTATCTGCTTCAGGTTTGAAATGGAGCTTCATGGTTGTCTTTTGGAGAAATGAACAGTCAAGTTGTGTTTGAAATTTGATTTTTTTCAGGGGCAAAAGGAAGCCTCTGCATTCTTGTCAAATATGTAAACAGCATGTTTTTGCAGGTGCTAAAAAACAGACTCTGAGTGTGTGTGTGTGTGTCTGTGTGTGTGTGTGTGTGTGTGTGTGTGTGTGTGTGTGTATGTTGGCGTGTGTGTATATGTGTGTGTATCCTGCAGTACTCTGTTCTCCTGCAGTGGCCAAAAAGACTTTTAAGAATGTGGATTTTTGGGTCATCTTTGGCGCCCCTAGAACTGCAGTACTCTGTACTCCTGCAGTGGCCAAAATGACTTTTAAGAATGTGGATTTTTGGGTCATCTTTGGCGCCCCCTAGAACGTAAACCGTGGGGTGCAGCGTCATGATTTTTACAACTTTGAATGGCCATGGGGTGTAGATTGGCCTGAGCAAATTTGGTATCGGTGGGACGAAAGCCTTAGGAGGAGATAGCCACATTCCAATGTGTGCGAATCGGCAAAAAATGCAAAATAGCCCTTTAACCGTACATTATACAGATACGCGCTCTTTGACTTTTTCGTAGATCTAATTGAGATACACATGATTGTCAATTTTTGTGTCAATATGACAAAGCGTTCAGGCGTGACACTCAACAATGTGTATTTTTATGTAAGGGGACAAGAAAAAATTGACTTTTTTCTCCTACCATGGGGGGGCGCTCTTTTGGGGAGTAAAAATTCCTTCACAAATGTGTTGATGGCTGGACATTGCATCATCCTAGAAAACTTGGAGGCCAGTGAGGACAAAAATAAAAAGTTATAAAACATTTAAGAATGTGGATTTTTGGGTTATTTTTGGCGCCCCCTAGAACCTAAACCATGGGGTGCAGCATCATGATTTGAATAACTTTTAATGGCCATGGGGTGTAGATTGGCCTGAGCAAATGTGGTGCCGGTGGAACGAAAGCCTTCGGAGGAGTTAGCGAAATTCCAATGTGTGCGTATCGGCAAAAAATGCGGAATAACCCTTTAACTGTACATTTGACAGTTACGCGTGCATGGACTTTTTTGTAGATCTTATTGAGTTACATGTGTGTGTCAATTTTTGTGTCATTTTGACAAAGCGTATAGGCGTGACACTCAACAATGTGTATTTTCACCTTAGGGGACAAGAAAAAATTGACTTTTTTCTCCTGCCATGGGGGGGCGCTCTTTTGGGGAGTAAAAATTCCTTCACAAATGTGTTGATGGCTGGACATTGCATCATCCTAGAAAACTTGGAGGCCAGTGAGGACAAAAATAAAAAGTTATAAGACTTTTAAATATGTGGATTTTAGGGTTATCTTTGGCGCCCCCTAGAACCTAAACCTTGGGGTGCAGCGTCATGATTTTGATAACTTTTAATGGCCACGGGGTGTAGATTGGCCTGAGCAAATGTGGTGCCGGTGGAACGAAAGCCTTCGGAGGAGTTAGCGAAATTCCAATGTGTGCGGATCGGCAAAAAATGCGAAATAACCCTTTAACCGTAATTTTGACAGATACGGCCGCACTGACTTTTTTGTAGATCTTATTGAGATACATGTGTGTGTCAATTTTTGTGTCAATATGACAAAGCGTACAGGCGTGACAGTCAATAGTGTGAATTTCCACCTTAGGGGGCGCTATGGAGCCATTTTGCATTTTATTGTTTGGGCGACTTCAGAATATCGAATTTTTCACCAGGCCCGGTCGTCCTGCCAAATTTCATGAGTTTTCGCCAGTGGGAAGTGGGCCATTTTCCAGTTCAAAGGGGAGGAAAAAGAAGAAAGAAAGAAAGAAAGAAAGAAAGAAAGAAACAAAGAAAAACCACTTGGGGAATAATAGGGCCTACGCCCGGCTGCTCTGCAGCTGGCTCGGGCCCTAATAACAAAAGAAGGAAACATGCAGGAACAAGAGGGCTCTCGCAGCTGCTTAGCAGCTACGCTCGGGCCCTAACTAGGACCCCGTTGGGGCACTGGCGGGCCCGAGCTGTGTCGCGTCCCCCCCCCAACGCGCTGCCTCCCCGTCCCATTTGTGTCCTCTGGCCATCGCCCTCTCTGGTAACGCCCATCACTGCAAAGACCCTTTTCCTTCATCGGCGTTTGCTGTTCTTCCTGCCAGTGCATGTTGCTTTCACTTACACTTGCCACAGCCAGCCTCGTGAGTGCCTAGCCTATTGGATATCACTGTCACCTACACAGGACAGTCATTACCTTTCTATTAATACTTTGTTTTTTAATTTCACATTAATTTCCATATTGTATAAACAACTGGAAAAAACTTGAGCCCCTGCCCCTGTATAATCATGTGCACGTCTCTGTTCTAGCTCTAAGGTGAATCTTCACTGCTCATGTTCTCCTCAGAAGCAGTCACCTCACTCCCCTCAGGTTACTGTACACATGCACCAACTGCCTGCTTCAGGTTTGGATGGAGCTTCATGGTTGTCTTTTGGAGAAATGACAAGTCAAGTTGTGTTTGAAATTTGATTTTTTTCAGGGGCAAAAGGAGCCTCTGCATTCTTGTCAAATATGTAAATAGCATGTTTTTGCAGGTGCTAAAAACCAGACTCTGAGTGTGTGTGTGTGCGTGTGTGTGTGTGTCTCTGTGTGTGTGTGTGTGTGTGTGTGTGTGTGTGTGTGTGTGTGCGTTCAAGTCACATGACATATTTAACCGGATGTAGCTGCAAGACGGAGCCTCGTTGACTCTCCGTTTCAACTTATCTCAAAAGTGAGGACCTCAACCTATATACCAGTTTTTAAATTGTGTTGATAGGCCAAATAAAACCAGAGTTATGATAAATTATGTCCGCGATACTTGTTTTCTGCTTATTTTGATCACGTTCGGCGCTCGATCGCGCTGTATGAGACAGGAAAACATAGCATGCAGACATTAGCGACAGGTCTTACAGGCGGAAAAGGCTTGCCAAAGGAAAAAAAAAACACACCACAACATCTCTCCTATTGGTGGAAAACTTCACCACAACAACCAATCCAAAATTATATGGTGACTGATTGACAAGGGGCGGGCGCTTACGTTCTTCCTGCAATATGAGAAGGGAGGGAGGGACTCTAAGCAGGGATGCAGTCTGGGACACGTAGTTGCAAACCTAGCGACTTTGTTGTTAGATTCAATGACTTTTCAGACCCCCTAACGACGTTTTTTTAGAAAGAAAGTGACTTTTATCGACTTCTTCTGGAGTTTAGAGACTCTGACATGAAGCAGGCTTTCCTTACTGAGGAGTTAGCAACGCTGCTAAGGGTGCAGAGCCACACATGCGCTCCGAGCTCTGCATGGGAGACTGAAGCTGACAGAGCTGCAGCAGTTAGCAGGTTTCACCCTCAGAGACCACCAGGGGTTCATGTTGAGGCATTTTCAGTTTTTGTTTTTTTTTTGCCATAGACACTGTCAGCACAATCTGCAGTTACACTAACAAAAATGCTGCAAAAAACAAAGAATTATGGAAAAATTACACATGGACTGACATAGAGGAGGATCTACACAAGTTTTTTACATCATGTTTTACATCATGCATCATTTACATCATGTTTTTTTGTAGTGGCATAAATAAAAAGTGACATTTGTGAGACTATACAGTGTTTTGTAAATAATTTTACAAAGAACACCTGGGCCATTGCCTGCATTTTGATGTCAATAGAGGTAAATTACTATGTTCTTTGTTAAAAATTTGCATATGTTTTGAAGTTTACAATTTTTATTTGAAGTTTAAGTTTTAAAAACAGTTCATCACACATATTTGTGGTTTTCACAGTAAAAACGTTACTTTTTTCCACTCGGATTTTATGTTTTGTGTGTGAATTTGGGTCCAATGTGTAAATATAGTATGTCAAAATGATAAAATAACTGTAAATTGACACAGGTGAGGTTGTGCTGAAAAAAATGATACCAGGCAAGGCAAGGTAAAAATTTTGTAAGAGGAAATATAAAGGTAAAATCTAAAGTAGTCAAAAACGGCCAATAGTGACTCACAGACTCCACAGACAAGTCCCTTTGGCGCCACTCAGTGGGCAAAACTACTTTGTCTACTGTAATGTATATTTGGGTCATCTTTGGCGCCCCCTAAAACGTAAACCGTGGGGTGCCGCGTCATGATTTTTACAACTTTGAATGGCCATGGAGTGTAGATTGGCCTGAGCAAATTTGGTGTCAGTGGGACGAAAGCCTTAGGAGGAGTTAGCGAAATTCCAATATGTGCGAATCGGCAAAAAATGCAAAATAGCCCTTTTACCGTACATTATACAGATACGCGCTCTTGACTTTTTCGTAGATCTAATTGAGATACACATGATTGTCAATTTTTGTGTCATTTTGCCAAAGCGTACAGGCATGACAGTCAACAATGTGTATTTTCACCTTAGGGGACAAGAAAAAATGGACTTTTTTCTCCTGCCATGGGGGGCGCTCTTTTAGGGAGTAAAAATTCCTTCACAAATGTGTTGATGGCTGGACATTGCATCATCCTAGAAAACTTGGAGGCCAGTGAGGACAAAAATAAAAAGTTATAAGACTTTTAAAAATTTGGATTTTTGGGTTATCTTTGGCGCCCCCTAGAACGTAAACCGTGGGGTGCAGCGTCATGATTTGAATAACTTTTAATGGCCATGGGGTGTAATTTGGCCTGAGCAAATGTGGTGCCGGTGGAACGAAAGCCTTCGGAGGAGTTAGCGAAATTCCAATGTGTGCGAATCGGCAAAAAATGCGGAATAACCCTTTAACCGTACATTTGACAGATACGCGCCCATTGACTTTTTTGTAGATCTTATTGAGATACATGTGTGTGTCAATTTTTGTGTCATTTTGACAAAGCGTACAGGCGTGACACTCAACAATGTGTATTTTCACCTTAGGGGACAAGAAAAAATGGACTTTTTTCTCCTGCCATGGGGGGGCGCTCTTTTGGGGAGTAAAAATTCCTTCACAAATGTGTTGATGGCTGGACATTGCATCATCCTAGAAAACTTGGAGGCCAGTGAGGACAAAAATAAAAAGTTATAAGACTTTGAAATATGTGGATTTTAGTGTTATCTTTGGCGCCCCCTAGAACGTAAACCGTGGGGTGCAGCGTCATGATTTGAATAACTTTTAATGGCCATGGGGTGTAGATTGGCCTGAGCAAATGTGGTGCCGGTGGAACGAAAGCCTTCGGAGGAGTTAGCGAAATTCCAATGTGTGCGGATCGGCAAAAAATGCGCAATAACCCTTTAACCGTACATTTGACAGATACGCCCGCACTGACTTTTTTGTAGATCTTATTGAGATACATATGTGTGTCAATTTTTGTGTCATTTTGACAAAGCGTAAAGGCGTGACAGTCAATAGTGTGAATTTTCACCTTAGGGGGCGCTATGGAGCCATTTTGCATTTTCTTGTTTGGGCGACTTCGGAATATCAAATTTTTCACCAGGCCCGGTCATCCTGCCAAATTTCATGAGTTTTCGCCAGTGGGAAGTGGGCCATTTTCCAGTTCAAAGGGGAGGAAAAAGAAGAACTAGGGCCCCGTTGGGGCACTGGCGGGCCCGAGCCGTGTCACGCCGCCCCGAGCGCGACCGCCTCCCCCACCCGATCGCGTCACACTCAAGGTCCAAAGATGGTGTGCGCACTTGTTTGTGGTCATTTACCATTATAATGAACGGGAGGCGCAGTTTCTACCAAAACGCTCGCTGCAGAAAAACTCCATGTCCTATTTGAAAAAAGTCTGGACCATGAGTGAGGGCACAAACACAGCTAAGATATATCCAAATGGCAAGTTGCTCCTCCTTTCGCTTTTGCCGAGAGAGCAGTGCGTTTGAGCCATTGAATGATGAACAGGAAAAACTTGACTTTATTCTCCTGCCATGGGGGGCGCTCTTTTAAAGAGAAAAAACTCCTTCACAAATGTGTTGATGGCTGGACATTGCATCATCCTAGAAAACATGGAGGCCAGTGAGGACAAAAATAAAAAGTTATAAGACTTTTAAATATGTGGATTTTAGGGTTATATTTGGCGCCCCCTAGAACCTAAACCGTGGGGTGCAGCGTCATGATTTGAATAACTTTTAATGGCCATGGGGTGTAGATTGGCCTGAGCAAATGTGGTGCCGGTGGAACGAAAGCCTTCGGAGGAATTAGCGAAATTCCAATGTGTGCGAATCTGCAAAAAATGCGAAATAACCCTTTAACTGTACATTTTACAGATACGTGGCCATTGACTTTTTCGAAGATCTTATTGAAATACACGTGTATGTAAAATTTTGTGTCAATACGACAAAACATACAGGCGTAGCACTCAACAATGTGTATTTTCACCTTAGTGGACAAGAAAAAATGGACTTTTTTCTCCTGCCATGGGGGGGCGCTCTTTTGGGGAGTAAAAATTCCTTCACAAATGTGTTGATGGCTGGACATTGCATCATCCTAGAAATTTTGGAGGCCAGTGGGGACAAAAATAAAAAGTTATAAGACTTTGAAATATGTGGATTTTAGTGTTATCTTTGGCGCCCCCTAGAACCTAAACCGTGGGGTGCAGCGTCATGATTTGAATAACTTTTAATGGCCATGGGGTGTAGATTGGCCTGAGCAAATGTGGTGCCGGTGGAACGAAAGCCTTCGGAGGAGTTAGCGAAATTCCAATGTGTGCGGATCGGCAAAAAATGCGGAATAACCCTTTAACCGTACATTTGACAGATACGCGCGCATTGACTTTTTCGTAGATCTTATTGAGATACATGTGTGTGTCAATTTTTGTGTCATTTTGCCAAAGCGTACAGGTGTTACACTCAACAATGTGTATTTTCACCTTAGGGGACAAGAAAAAATGGACTTTTTTCTCCTGCCATGGGGGGGCGCTCTTTTGGGGAGTAAAAATTCCTTCACAAATGTGTTGATGGCTGGACATTGCATCATCCTAGAAAACTTGGAGGCCAGTGAGGGCAAAAATAAAAAGTTATAAGACTTTTAAATATGTGGATCTTAGGGTTATCTTTGGCGCCCCCTAGAACCTAAACCGTGGGGTGCAGCGTCATGATTTGAATAACTTTTAATGGCCATGGGGTGTAGATTGGCCTGAGCAAATGTGGTGCCGGTGGAACGAAAGCCTTCGGAGGAGTTAGCGAAATTCCAATGTGTGCGGATCGGCAAAAAATGCGGAATAACCCTTTAACCGTACATTTGACAGATACGCCCGCACTGACTTTTTTGTAGATCTTATTGAGATACATGTGTGTGTCAATTTTTGTGTCATTTTGACAAAGCGTACAGGCGTGACAGTGAATAGTGTGAATTTTCACCTTAGGGGGCGCTATGGAGCCATTTTGCATTTTCTTGTTTGGGCGACTTCGGAATATCAAATTTTTCACCAGGCCCGGTCGTCCTGCCAAATTTCATGAGTTTTCGCCAGTGGGAAGTGGGCCATTTTCCAGTTCAAAGGGGAGGAAAAAGAAGAAACTAGGGCCCCGTTGGGGCACTGGCGGGCCCGAGCCGCGTTGCGCCGCCCCCAGTGCGACCGCCTCCCCCTCCCGATCGCGTCACACTCAAGGTCCAAAGATGGTGTGCGCACTTGTCTGTGGTCATTTCCCATTATAATGAATGGGAGGCGCAGTTTCTACCAAAACACTCGCTGCAGACAAACTACATGTCCTATTTGAAAAAAGTCTGGACCATGAGTGAGGGCACAAACACAGCTAGGATATATCCAAACGGCAAGTTGCTCCTCGTTACGGTGTTGCCGGGAGAGCGATGCGATTGAGCCATTGAGTGATGGGCAGGAAAAACTTGACTGTTTCTCCTGCCATGGGGGATGGGGGATGGGGGATGGGGGGGAGGGATGTGGATTCTTTTAAGAATGTGGATATTTGGGTCATCTTTGGCGCCCCCTAGAACGTAAACCGTGGGGTGCAGCGTCATGATTTTTAAAACTTTGAATGGCCATGGGGTGTAGATTGGCCTGAGCAAATTTGGTGTCAGTGGGACGAAAGCCTTAGGAGGAGTTAGCCACATTCCAATGTGTGCTAATCGGCAAAAAATGCAAAATAGCCCTTTAACCGTACATTTTACAGATACGCGTGCATTGACTTTTTCGTAGATCTTATTGAGATACATGTGTGTGTCAAATTTTGTGTCAATATGACAAAGCATACAGGTATGACAGTCAACAATGTGTATTTTCACCTTATGGGACAAGAAAAAATGGACTTTTTTCTCCTGCCATGGGGGGGCGCTCTTTTGGGGAGTAAAAATTCCTTCACAAATGTGTTGATGGCTGGACATTGCATCATCCTAGAAAACTTGGAGGCCAGAGAGGACAAAAATAAAAAGTTATAAGACTTTTAAATATGTGGATTTTAGGGTTATCTTTGGCGCCCCCTAGAACCTAAACCGTGGGGTGCAGCGTCATGATTTGAATAACTTTTAATGGCCATGGGGTGTAGATTGGCCTGAGCAAATGTGGTGCCGGTGGAACGAAAGCCTTCGGAGGAGTTAGCGAAATTCCAATGTGTGCGGATCGGCAAAAAATGCGCAATAACCCTTTAACCGTACATTTGACAGATACGCCAGCATTGACTTTTTTGTAGATCTTATTGAGATACATGTGTGTGTCAATTTTTGTGTAATTTTGACAAAGCGTACAGGCGTGACAGTCAATAGTGTGAATTTTCACCTTATGGGACAAGAAAAAATGGACTTTTTTCTCCTGCCATGGGGGGGCGCTCTTTTGGGGAGTAAAAATTCCTTCACAAATGTGTTGATGGCTGGACATTGCATCATCCTAGAAAACTTGGAGGCCAGTGAGGGCAAAAATAAAAAGTTATAAGACTTTGAAATATGTGGATTTTAGGGTTATCTTTGGCGCCCCCTAGAACCTAAACCGTGGGGTGCAGCATCATGATTTGAATAACTTTTAATGGCCATGGGGTGTAGATTGGCCTGAGCAAATGTGGTGCCGGTGGAACGAAAGCCTTCGGAGGAGTTAGCGAAATTCCAATGTGTGCGGATCGGCAAAAAATGCGCAATAACCCTTTAACCGTACATTTGACAGATACGCCCGCACTGACTTTTTTGTAGATCTTATTGAGATACATGTGTGTGTCAATTTTTGTGTCATTTTGACAAAGCGTACCGGCGTGACAGTGAATAGTGTGAATTTTCACCTTAGGGGGCGCTATGGAGCCATTTTGCATTTTCTTGTTTGGGCGACTTCGGAATATCAAATTTTTCACCAGGCCCGGTCGTCCTGCCAAATTTCATGAGTTTTCGCCAGTGGGAAGTGGGCCATTTTCCAGTTCAAAGGGGAGGAAAAATAATAATAATAACAAAAGAAGGAAACTACAGGAACAAGAGGGCTCTCGCAGCTGCTTAGCAGCTACGCTCGGGCCCTAACTAGGGCCCCGTTGGGGCACTGGCGGGCCCGAGCCGTGTCGCACCCCCCCCCCCCCCAACGCGCTGCCTCCCTGTCCCATTCGTGTCCTCTGGCCATCGCCCTCTCTGGTAACGCCCATCACTGCAAAGACCCTTTTCCTTCATCGGCGTTTGCTGTTCTTCCTGCCAGTGCGTGTTGCTTTCACTTACACTTGCCACAGCCAGCCTCGTGAGTGCCTAGCCTATTGGATATCACTGTCACCTACACAGGACAGTCATACTTTGTTTTTTAATTTCACATTAATTTCCATATTGTATAAACGACTGGAAAAAACTTGAGCCCCTGCCCCTGTATTATCATGTGCACGTCCCTGTTCTAGCTCCAAGGTGAATCTTCACTGCTCATGTTCTCCTTAGAAGCAGTCACCTCACTCCCCTCAGGTTACTGTACACATGCACCAACTGCCTGCTTCAGGTTTGGATGGAGCTTCATGGTTGTCTTTTGGAGAAATGAGCAGTCAAGTTGTGTTTGAAATTTGATTTTTTTCAGGGGCAAAAGGAAGCCTCTGCATTCTTGTCAAATATGTAAATAGCATGTTTTTGCAGGTGCTAAAAAACAGACTCTGAGTGTGTGTGTGTGTGTGTGTGTGTGTGTGTGTGTGCGTGTGTGTGTGTGTGTCTGTGTGTGTGTGTGTGTGTGTATCCTGCAGTACTCTGAGAAGAATAATAAGCATATTTCTGAGGTGAATTTTGAAGATTCATCTGAGAGTTAGGTTTGATTCGATTCGATTGACGCTCCCCAGCGTTCAAGTCACATGACATATTTAACCGGATGTAGCTGCAAGACGGAGCCTCGTTAACTCTCCGTTTCAACTTATCTCAAAAGTGAGGACCTCAACCTATATACCAGTTTTTAAATTGTGTTGATAGGCCAAATAAAACCAGAGTTATGATAAATTATGTCCGCGATACTTTTTTTCTGCTTATTTTGATCACGTTCGGCGCTCGATCGCGCTGTATGAGACAGGAAAACATAGCATGCACACATTAGCGACAGGTCTTACAGGCGGAAAAGGCTTGCCAAAAGAAAAAAAAAACACACCACAACATCTCTCCTATTGGTGGAAAACTTCACCACAACAACCAATCCAAAATTATATGGTGACTGATTGACAAGGGGCGGGCGCTTACGTTCTTCCTGCAACATGAGAAGGGAGGGAGGGACTCTCAGCAGGGATGCAGTCTGGGACACGTAGTTGCAAACCTAGCGACTTTGTTGTTAGATTCAATTACTTTTCAGACCCCCTAACGACTTTTTTTTAGAAAGAAAGGGACTTTTATCGACTTCTTCTGGAGTTTAGAGACTCTGACATGAAGCAGGCTTTCCTTACTGAGGAGTTAGCAACGCTGCTAAGGGTGCAGAGCCACACATGCGCTCCGAGCTCTGCATGGGAGACTGAAGCTGACAGAGCTGCAGCAGTTAGCAGGTTTCACCCTCAGAGACCACCAGGGGTTCATGTTGAGGCATTTTCAGTTTTTGTTTTTTTTGCCATAGACTGTCAGCACAATCTGCAGTTACACTAACAAAAATGCTGCAAAAAACAAAGAATTATGGAAAAATTACACATGGACTGACATAGAGGAGGATCTACACAAGTTTTTTACATCATGTTTTACATCATGCATCATTTACATCATGTTTTTTTGTAGTGGCATGAATAAATAGTGGCATTTGTGAGACTATACAGTGTTTTGTAAATAATTTTACAAAGAACGCCTGGGCCATTGCCTGCATTTTGATGTAAATAGAGGTAAATTACTATGTTCTTTGTTAAAAATTTGCATATGTTTTGAAGTTTACAATTTTTATTTGAAGTTTAAGTTTTAAAAACAGTTCATCACACATATTTGTGTTTTAATTTCACATTAATTTCCATATTGTATAAATGACTGGAAAAAACTTGAGCCCCTGCCCCTGTATAATCATGTGCACGTCCCTGTTCTAGCTCCAAGGTGAATCTTCACTGCTCATGTTCTCCTCAGAAATAGTCACCTCACTCCCCTCAGGTTACTGTACACATGCACCAACTATCTGCTTCAGGTTTGGATGGAGCTTCATGGTTGTCTTTTGGAGAAATGAACAGTCAAGTTGTGTTTGAAATCTGATTTTTTTCAGGGGCAAAAGGAAGCCTCTGCATTCTTGTCAAATATGTAAACAGCATGTTTTTGCAGGTGCTAAAAAACAGACTCTGAGTGTGTGTGTGTGTCTGTGTGTGTGTGTGTGTGTGTGTGTGTGTGTGTGTGTGTGTGTATGTGTGTGTATCCTGCAGTACTCTGTACTCCTGCAGTGGCCAAAAAGACTTTTAAGAATGTGGATTTTTGGGTCATCTTTGGCGCCCCCTAGAACTGCAGTACTCTGTACTCCTGCAGTGGCCAAAATGACTTTTAAGAATGTGGATTTTTGGGTCATCTTTGGCGCCCCCTAGAACGTAAACCGTGGGGTGCAGCGTCATGATTTTTACAACTTTGAATGGGCATGGGGTGTAGATTGCCCTGAGCAAATTTGGTATCGGTGGGACGAAAGCCTTAGGAGGAGATAGCCACATTCCAATGTGTGCGAATCGGCAAAAAATGCGAAATAGCCCTTTAACCGTACATTATACAGATACGCGCGTCATTGACTTTTTCGTAGATCTAATTGAGATACACATGATTGTCAATTTTTGTGTCAATATGACAAAGCGTTCAGCCGTGACACTCAACAATGTGTATTTTCATGTAAGGGGACAAGAAAAAATTGACTTTTTTCTCCTGCCATGGGGGGGCGCTCTTTTGGGGAGTAAAAATTCCTTCACAAATGTGTTGATGGCTGGACATTGCATCATCCTAGAAAACTTGGAGGGCAGTGAGGACAAAAATAAAAAGTTATAAGACTTTTAAGAATGTGGATTTTGGGTTATCTTTGGCGCCCCCTAGAACGTAAACCGTGGGGTGCAGCGTCATGATTTGTACAACTTTTAATGGCCATGGGGGGTAGATTGGCCTGCGCAAATGTGGTGCCGGTCGAACGAAAGCCTTCGGAGGAGTTAGCGAAATTCCAATGTGTGCAGATCTGCAAAAAATGCAAAATAACCCATTAATCTTACATTTGACAGATACGCCCGCACTGACTTTTTTGTAGATCTTATTGAGATACATGTGTGTGTCAATTTTTGTGTCAATATGACAAAGCGTACAGCCGTCATGTGAATTTTCACCTTAGGGGGCGCTATGGAGCCATTTTGCATTTTATTGTTTGGGCGACTTCAGAATATCGAATTTTTCACCAGGCCCGGTCGTCCTGCCAAATTTCCTGAGTTTTCGCCAGTGGGAAGTGGGCCATTTTCCAGTTTAAAGCGGAGGAAAAATAATAACGAAAGAAGGAAACATGCAGGAACAAGAGGGCTCTCGCAGCTGCTTAGCAGCTACGCTCGGGCCCTAAAGAAAGAAACAAAGAAAAACCCCTACAGGAATAACAGGGCCTACGCCCGGCTGCTCTGCAGCTGGCTCGGGCCCTAACTAGGACCCCGGTGGGGCACTGTCGGGCCCGAGCCGCATCGCGCCGCCCCCAGCGCGACCGCCTCCCCCTCCCGATCGCGTCACACTCAAGGTCCAAAGATGGTGTGCGCACTTGTCTGTGGTCATTTCCCATTATAATGAATGGGAGGCGCAGTTTCTACCAAAACGCTCGCTGCAGACAAACTACATGTCCTATTTGAAAAAGGTCTGGACCATGAGTGAAGGCAGAAACACAGCTAGGATATATCCAAATGGCAGGTTGCTCCTCGTTACGGTGTTGCCGGGAGAGTGATGCGATTGAGCCATTGAGTGATGGGCAGGAAAAACTTGACTGTTTCTCCTGCCATGGGGGTTGGGGGATGGGGGGGGGGGGGAATGTGGATTCTTTTAAGAATGTGGATATTTGGGTCATCTTTGGCGCCCCCTAGAACGTAAACCGTGGGGTGCAGCGTCATGATTTTTACAACTTTGAATGGCCATGGGGTGTAGATTGGCCTGAGCAAATTTGGTGTCAGTGGGACGAAAGCCTTAGGAGGAGTTAGCCACATTCCAATGTGTGCGAATCGGCAAAAAATGCAAAATAGCCCTTTAACCGTACATTTTACAGATACGCGCGCATTGACTTTTTCGTAGATCTTATTGAGATACATGTGATTGTCAATTTTTGTGTCAATATGACAAAGCGTACAGGTATGACAGTCAACAATGTGTTTTTTCACCTTATGGGACAAGAAAAAATTGACTTTTTTCTCCTGCCATGGGGGGCGCTCTTTTGGGGAGTAAAAATTCCTTCACAAATGTGTTGATGGCTGGACATTGCATCATCCTAGAAAACTTGGAGGCCAGTGAGGACAAAAATAAAAAGTTATAAGACTTTGAAATATGTGGATTTTAGGGTTATCTTTGGCGCCCCCTAGAACCTAAACCGTGGGGTGCAGCGTCATGATTTGAATAACTTTTAATGGCCATGGGGTGTAGATTGGCCTGAGCAAATGTGGTGCCGGTGAAACGCCAGCCTTAGGAGGAGTTAGCGAAATTCCAATGTGTGCGGATCAGCAAAAAATGCGGAATAACCCTTTAACCGTACATTTGACAGATACGCGCGCATCGACTTTTTCATAGATCTTATTGAGATACATGTGTGTGTCAAATTTTGTGTCAATATGACAAAGCGTACAGGCATGACACTCAACAATGTGTATTTTCACCTTAGGGGACAAGAAAAAATTGACTTTTTTCTCCTGCCATGGGGGGGCGCTCTTTTGGGGATTAAAAATTCCTTCACAAATGTGTTGATGGCTGGACATTGCATCATCCTAGAAAACTTGGAGGCCAGTGAGGGCAAAAATAAAAAGTTATAAGACTTTTAAATATGTGGATTTTAGGGTTATCTTTTGCGCCCCCTAGAACCTAAACCGTGGGGTGCAGCGTCATGATTTGGATAACTTTTAATGGCCATGGGGTGTAGATTGGCCTGAGCAAATGTGGTGCCGGTGGAACGAAAGCCTTAGGAGGAGTTAGCGAAATTCCAATGTGTGCGTATCGGCAAAAAATGCGGAATAACCCTTTAACCGTACATTTGACAGATACGCCCGCACTGACTTTTTTGTAGATCTTATTGAGATACATGTGTGTGTCAATTTTTGTGTCAATATGACAAAGCGTAAAGGCGTGACAGTCAATAGTGTGAATTTTCACCTTAGGGGGCGCTATGGAGCCATTTTGCATTTTCTTGTTTGGGCGACTTCGGAATATCAAATTTTTCACCAGGCCCGGTCATCCTGCCAAATTTCATGAGTTTTCGCCAGTGGGAAGTGGGCCATTTTCCAGTTCAAAGGGGAGGAAAAAGAAGAAAGAAAGAAACAAAGAAAAACCACTTGGGGAATAATAGGGCTCTCGCAGCTGCTTAGCAGCTACGCTCGGGCCCTAAGAAAGAAACAAAGAAAAACCACTTGGGGAATAATAGGGCTCTCGCAGCTGCTTAGCAGCTATGCTCGGGCCCTAACTAGGACCCCGTTGGGGCACTGGCGGGCCCGAGCTGTGTCGCGTCCCCCCCCCAACGCGCTGCCTCCCCGTCCCATTTGTGTCCTCTGGCCATCGCCCTCTCTGGTAACGCCCATCACTGCAAAGACCCTTTTCCTTCATCGGCGTTTGCTGTTCTTCCTGCCAGTGCGTGTTGCTTTCACTTACACTTGCCACAGCCAGCCTCTTGAGTGCCTAGCCTATTGGATATCACTGTCACCTACTCAGGACAGTCATTACCTTTCTATTAATACTTTGTTTTTTAATTTCACATTAATTTCCATATTGTATAAACAACTGGAAAAAACTTGAGCCCCTGCCCCTGTATAATCATGTGCACGTCTCTGTTCTAGCTCTAAGGTGAATCTTCACTGCTCATGTTCTCCTCAGAAGCAGTCACCTCACTCCCCTCAGGTTACTGTACACATGCACCAACTGCCTGCTTCAGGTTTGGATGGAGCTTCATGGTTGTCTTTTGGAGAAATGACCAGTCAAGTTGTGTTTGAAATTTGATTTTTTTCAGGGGCAAAAGGAGCCTCTGCATTCTTGTCAAATATGTAAATAGCATGTTTTTGCAGGTGCTAAAAACCAGACTCTGAGTGTGTGTGTGTGCGTGTGTGTGTGTGTCTGTGTGTGTGTGTGTGTGTGTGTGTGTGTGTGTGTGTGTGTGCGTTCAAGTCACATGACATATTTAACCGGATGTAGCTGCAAGACGGAGCCTCGTTGACTCCGTTTCAACTTATCTCAAAAGTGAGGACCTCAACCTATATACCAGTTTTTAAATTGTGTTGATAGGCCAAATAAAACCAGAGTTATGATAAATTATGTCCGCGATACTTTTTTTCTGCTTATTTTGATCACGTTCGGCGCTCGATCGCGCTGTATGAGACAGGAAAACATAGCATGCAGACATTAGCGACAGGTCTTACAGGCGGAAAAGGCTTGCCAAAGGAAAAAAAAAACACACCACAACATCTCTCCTATTGGTGGAAAACTTCACCACAACAACCAATCCAAAATTATATGGTGACTGATTGACAAGGGGCGGGCGCTTACGTTCTTCCTGCAATATGAGAAGGGAGGGAGGGACTCTCAGCAGGGATGCAGTCTGGGACACGTAGTTGCAAACCTAGCGACTTTGTTGTTAGATTCAATGACTTTTCAGACCCCCTAACGACTTTTTTTTTAGAAAGAAAGTGACTTTTATCGACTTCTTCTGGAGTTTAGAGACTCTGACATGAAGCAGGCTTTCCTTACTGAGGAGTTAGCAACGCTGCTAAGGGTGCAGAGCCACACATGCGCTCCGAGCTCTGCATGGGAGACTGAAGCTGACAGAGCTGCAGCAGTTAGCAGGTTTCACCCTCAGAGACCACCAGGGGTTCATGTTGAGGCATTTTCAGTTTTTTTTTTTTTTTTTGCCATAGACACTGTCAGCACAATCTGCAGTTACACTAACAAAAATGCTGCAAAAAACAAAGAATTATGGAAAAATTACACATGGACTAACATAGAGGAGGATATACACAAGTTTTTTACATCATGTTTTACATCATGCATCATTTACATCATGTTTTTTTGTAGTGGCATAAATAAAAAGTGACATTTGTGAGACTATACAGTGTTTTGTAAATAATTTTACAAAGAACACCTGGGCCATTGCCTGCATTTTGATGTAAATAGAGGTAAATTACTATGTTCTTTGTTAAAAATTTGCATATGTTTTGAAGTTTACAATTTTTATTTGAAGTTTAAGTTTTAAAAACAGTTCATCACACATATTTGTGGTTTTCACAGTAAAAACGTTACTTTTTTCCACTCGGATTTTATGTTTTGTGTGTGAATTTGGGTCCAATGTGTAAATATAGTATGTCAAAATGATAAAATAACTGTAAATTGACACAGGTGAGGTTGTGCTGAAAAAAATGATACCAGGCAAGGCAAGGTAAAAATTTTGTAAGAGGAAATATAAAGGTAAAATCTAAAGTAGTCAAAAACGGCCAATAGTGACTCACAGACTCCACAGACAAGTCCCTTTGGCGCCACTCAGTGGGCAAAACTACTTTGTCTACTGTAATGTATATTTGGGTCATCTTTGGCGCCCCCTAAAACGTAAACCGTGGGGTGCAGCGTCATGATTTTTACAACTTTGAATGGCCATGGAGTGTAGATTGGCCTGAGCAAATTTGGTGTCAGTGGAATGAAAGCCTTAGGAGGAGTTAGCGAAATTCCAATGTGTGCGAATCGGCAAAAAATGCAAAGTAGCCCTTTTACCGTACATTATACAGATACGCGCTCTTTGACTTTTTCGTAGATCTAATTGAGATACACATGATTGTCAATTTTTGTGTCATTTTGCCAAAGCGTACAGGCGTGACAGTCAACAATGTGTATTTTCACCTTAGGGGACAAGAAAAAATGGACTTTTTTCTCCTGCCATGGGGGGGCGCTCTTTTAGGGAGTAAAAATTCCTTCACAAATGTGTTGATGGCTGGACATTGCATCATCCTAGAAAACTTGGAGGCCAGTGAGGACAAAAATAAAAAGTTATAAGACTTTTAAAAATGTGGATTTTTGGGTTATCTTTGGCGCCCCCTAGAACGTAAACCGTGGGGTGCAGCGTCATGATTTGAATAACTTTTAATGGCCATGGGGTGTAGATTGGCCTGAGCAAATGTGGTGCCGGTGGAACGAAAGCCTTCGGAGGAGTTAGCGAAATTCCAATGTGTGCGAATCGGCAAAAAATGCGGAATAACCCTTTAACCGTACATTTGACAGATACGCGCGCATGGACTTTTTTGTAGATCTTATTGAGATACATGTATGTGTCAATTTTTGTGTCATTTTGACAAAGCGTACAGGCGTGACACTCAACAATGTGTATTTTCACCTTAGGGGACAAGAAAAAATGGACTTTTTTCTCCTGCCATGGGGGGGCGCTCTTTTGGGGAGTAAAAATTCCTTCACAAATGTGTTGATGGCTGGACATTGCATCATCCTAGAAAACTTGGAGGCCAGTGAGGGCAAATATAAAAGGTTATAAGACTTTGAAATATGTGGATTTTAGGGTTATCTTTGGCGCCCCCTAGAACCTAAACCGTGGGGTGCAGCGTCATGATTTGAATAACTTTTAATGGCCATGGGGTGTAGATTGGCCTGAGCAAATGTGGTGCCGGTGGAACGAAAGCCTTCGGAGGAGTTAGCGAAATTCCAATGTGTGCGGATCGGGAAAAAATGCGAAATAACCCTTTAACCGTACATTTGACAGATACGCCCGCACTGACTTTTTTGTAGATCTTATTGAGATACATGTGTGTGTCAAATTTTGTGTCATTTTGACAAAGCGTACAGGCGTGACACTCAATAGTGTGAATTTTCACCTTAGGGGGCGCTATGGAGCCATTTTGCATTTTCTTGTTTGAGCGACTTCGGAATATCAAATTTTTCACCAGGCCCGGTCGTCCTGCCAAATTTCATGAGTTTTCGCCAGTGGGAAGTGGGCCATTTTCCAGTTCAAAGGGGAGGAAAAAGAAAAAAGAAACAAAGAAAAACCCCTTGGGGAATAATAGGGCTCTCGCAGCTGCTTAGCAGCTACGCTCGGGCCCTAATAACAAAAGAAGGAAACTACAGGAACAAGAGGGCTCTCGCAGCTGCTTAGCAGCTACGCTCGGGCCCTAAAGAAAGAAACAAAGAAAAACCACTTGGGGAATAATAGGGCTCTCGCAGCTGCTTAGCAGCTACGCTCGGGCCCTAAAAAGAAACAAAGAAAAACCACTTGGGGAATAATAGGGCTCTCGCAGCTGCTTAGCAGCTACGCTCGGGCCCTAAGAAACAAAGAAAAACCACTTGGGGAATAATAGGGCTCTCGCAGCTGCTTAGCAGCTACGCTCGGGCCCTAATAACGAAAGAAGGAAACATGCAGGAACAAGAGGGCTCTCGCAGCTGCTTAGCAGCTACGCTCGGGCCCTAACAAGGGGCGGGCGCTTACGTTCTTCCTGCAATATGAGAAGGGAGGGAGGGACTCTCAGCAGGGATGCAGTCTGGGACACGTAGTTGCAAACCTAGCGACTTTGTTGTTAGATTCAATGACTTTTCAGACCCCCTAACGACTTTTTTTAGAAAGAAAGTGACTTTTATCGACTTCTTCTGGAGTTTAGAGACTCTGACATGAAGCAGGCTTTCCTTACTGAGGAGTTAGCAACGCTCCTAAGGGTGCAGAGCCACACATGCGCTCCGAGCTCTGCATGGGAGACTGAAGCTGACAGAGCTGTAGCAGTTAGCAGGTTTCACCCTCAGAGACCACCAGGGGTTCATGTTGAGGCATTTTCAGTTTTTTTTTTTTTTTGCCATAGACACTGTCAGCACAATCTGCAGTTACACTAACAAAAATGCTGCAAAAAACAAAGAATTATGGAAAAATTACACATGGACTAACATAGAGGAGGATCTACACAAGTTTTTTACATCATGTTTTACATCATGCATCATTTACATCATGTTTTTTTGTAGTGGCATAAATAAAAAGTGACATTTGTGAGACTATACAGTGTTTTGTAAATAATTTTACAAAGAACACCTGGGCCATTGCCTGCATTTTGATGTCAATAGAGGTAAATTACTATGTTCTTTGTTAAAAATTTGCATATGTTTTGAAGTTTACAATTTTTATTTGAAGTTTAAGTTTTAAAAACAGTTCATCACACATATTTGTGGTTTTCACAGTAAAAACGTTACTTTTTTCCACTCGGATTTTATGTTTTGTGTGTGAATTTGGGTCCAAATATAGTATGTCAAAATGATAAAATAACTGTAAATTGACACAGGTGAGGTTGTGCTGAAAAAAATGATACCAGGCAAGGCAAGGTAAAAATTTTGTAAGAGGAAATATAAAGGTAAAATCTAAAGTAGTCAAAAACGGCCAATAGTGACTCACAGACTCCACAGACAAGTCCCTTTCGCGCCACTCAGTGGGCAAAACTACTTTGTCTACTGTAATGTATATTTGGGTCATCTTTGGCGCACCCTAAAACGTAAACCGTGGGGTG